CTGTCAGCCTGCTCGAGGGGACCCCTTCGCTCCTCGTGCGCCCCGCCGACCTGCTCAAGGTTGGCGGCGTCCGCCCCGACATCGCCCGCGACAGGGACGACATGGCCCTCGGCCGGCATCGCGACCGGGCCGAGAATGTCCTGCACAGGCGTCTGCCGCGAGACCCCGATGAGCGCGGAGACCATCGCGTTCGCGAGGTCTGCCTCCACAGGGGCGGCCAGCGAGACTCTGCCTCCGAGCTGTCGCTCGACCTCCGCACAGTGGAGCTCCTCCCGCCTGCGCACGGCGGCCATCACGCCGCTGCGAAGGGCAGCGGCGCGCGCTGCAGGCGCCGTGGCAGGCTGGCCCCCGTACCCAGCCGACGCGGCCGGCAGCGCCAGGACAAAGGGGCGCGCGGCGGCCAGCTCCAGAGCGCTGGGCAGAGCGCGAACCACACAGCGGGAACGCTCAGCTGGGGCGACCCGCGCGAGCGTCTCGAGGAGCATCCGCACGAGCGGCTCGGCCTCGCGCCCGGGCGCCAGCGGCGGGGGCAGGGGCCCCAGGTGCGCGCTCCCCCGCATTGGACTCGGCAGCGCCCCGCAGCTCGCCGGAGCGGGCAGTCAGGGTGTCCACGTCGGCCTGGACCGGGTACGAGCGCTGGTGACCGTTGAGAGGCACGACCTCGACATCCACGTCCTCCTCCGAGCTGGAGTCTGGCTGGAACGGGCCCAGGCTCGGCCGTCGGCACTGTGTGGTGCGAAGAGCCCCTCAAACTCCAGGGTCGCTGGGGTTGCCAGGGGGTCGCTCTCCGGGAAGGGCAGGCCAACGTCTTCGAGCATCGAGGGGTCCAAGGGCTGGTCCGCGCCGCTGCGGACGCGCTTCGTGACCGTCATGCTCATGTCCTCTGCGTGCTCGTAGCTCCCGCGGGTGCGACCATCGCGCGTGATCTCGGAGCGCACGCCCATCACGCGCTCCGACGCCTCGTTGCCCTTCTGTCCTCTGAAGTTTTCCCGCTCAGTGCCTGGACCGATGCCCCGCAATCTCATAGGTTCGAGCCTGGGCGTGCGACGTGGTCACAACTTTCACACGGTAAACGGTGCTTGAGCTCCACCAGGGCCGCAGCAGGGGTTCAGAGCGAACCGAAGGGGCCACTCGATCGTCAGGGCGGTCACTATCACAAGACACTTCTGCCCGCACCGAGCTCGGGGTCGGGTGGTCGATGGTATCCACAGGACGGTGCACCACCACGCCGGCCCCTCTTGTAAGAACGCTGGTGAGAGCCAGGATTCTCGAGCAGCCACTGCAGCACAGAGGAGCCCGGCCCATCCTCGAAGAAGAGCCCCTCGGCGTTCTGGAGAGTCCGAGCGTCGTCACCCGTCGGACGCCCCCTCGCCATCGCAGACTGGTGGTGCACGAAGGGCACAGATCACCGGAGCGAGGGATGCGGTCGGGCAACGACTCGGTGTGCGGTAGGATATCTGCTCCAAACCAATCAGCCACACGGTCCACATGAGAGGGCCATGCTGCGCCTTGAGTCAGGAGAGGCCACAGAAAGACTACCGCTCGCGATCCCTTCAGCTGCCAATACCCCAGGAAAAAACTCGACTGACAAAAACGTGAAAAACATACAGCAAGCTCATCATCATCCTCATCATCATCATCATCATCATCATCCTCATCCTCATCATCATCATCATCATCATCATCATCATCACCATCATCATCATCATCATCATCATCATCATCATCATCATCATCATCATCATCATCATCATCATCATCATCATCATCATCATCATCATCAGCATCATCATCATCATCATCATCATCATCATCATCATCATCATCATCATCATCATCATCATCATCATCATCATCATCATCATCATCATCAGCATCATCATCATCATCATCATCATCATCATCATCATCATCAATCAGCATCAGCATCAGCATCAGCATCAGCATCAGCATCAGCATCAGCAGCAGCAGCATCATCATCATCATCATCATCATCATCATTACCACCATCATCATCATCGGCAGCATTATCATCATCATCAGCAGCAGCATCATCATCGTCATTATCACATCATCATCAGCAGCAGCATCATCAGCATCATCAACATCATCAGCAACAGCATCATCATAATCATCATCAGCATCACCATCATCATCGTCATCGTCATCAATATCATCATCACCACCAACGTCAGAATCATAATCATGATGTCCTTCATCTCACCCCCCTTCCCCTCCAACCCTCTCACGTGCCGTCTGCCGACCACGCCGCCATCCCGGCAGCGCCCCCCCCCCTGGCGGGCGCTCCTCCATGCGCCCTGGCCGCAGGAAAGGGGCCGGTGCCTACCGGAGCTGGACCCCCCGCGCCGCCGCCCCCCGCCCCCGCCCACAGTGCTCTGTGCGGGGGCTGCCTTGTGAAGACCGTGTGCTGCAAACGCAGGTCTTGTAAGCATTCTTTTTGCCGCCATCTGTGGGAGCACGCTGACCTTGAATTGCCACGGTCTGGCGCCAGCATTTCTCTCAGGCGGTCGTGCGAGATGGGGGTCAGGCTTCCAAGAAGGCCTGGGGGGCCGGAGGCCTTTGATGAGGCGGCATCGAAGGAGGGAGGGCTTCAAGGAAGCCCCCCGCCTTCCCAGACCCTGGCGTCATGATGTCTCCATACAGTAGTAGAAGCACGACCACAAGAAACCTTCCACAAGAAACCCAACCCTGAACCCCAGGATGTCCATTGGTGTTTGGTGTGGGAAAGTCACGCCTTCCATAGCAAAACCATCGAAACCTAAGAAACCCAGGTCACCCTGGAGGCAAGCAGGGTGTTTCTTGGCATGGGTTTCCACTGTAACGTCGGCCCCCAGTGGTCTCGACCCACTCCCCCAGGATCGGGTCGTCCTGCGCCATTTCCCGACGGCCCCGAGGCCCGGCAAGGGCACTCAGAGGCCGAAAGTAATGAAAAACCTTGTGTCCTGATGTTTTCATCTCCCGAGGGGGTCTGGGTTCTCAGAGTTAGAAACCCCGAGGTCCTGGCGTTGCAATCTTTTCACAACGGGCGTTTTCACACGGCTTCGGGCCCCGGGACCCTCACGGATCGATCCGGCTCGAAAAATGACGCAGAAAGGTGGGGTCTATGGCTCTGGGCATGATTTGTTGACGATGTTGCCATTTTTCGCTACGTCGGATCTCAAGGATTCAGCTTGGCCACCACCTTCGCTCCAGGCCCCCCTCTGTGCGCAACCACCGTCGGCCATCCGGGGCTGTAGGGGGCCCGGTCTGTGGAGAAGCAGGGCGCCGGAGGCCTTGGGGGGAAGGGGAAGGGATCCAGTAGGGGATCAACTACAGGATTGATTTACCCCAGCATTGACCTGTTCGTCGAAGCTAGAAAAATATGTGAATTTCTGCAGGCCCGTCAAAGTGCATGCATGTTTACATTGGGTAGACGGAACCAAAATTCTGAGGTAAATGAATTATGTAGTCGATCCCCCAAGCACTCGAAGGGTAGTAGGAGGCGCACGCGTAGCCCGAGGCGCACCGACCCATCCGAAGAGAGGCTGGCGCTCGATTTTTTGCAAGGGGGAAAAGCCTCGCCGCGATCGAGCAGTGGACCACGGGAAGAGTGAGGGGCAACGATAGGGGGGGGACTGGCATAGGGGGGATGCATCGACCTGGCATCGGCGATACATCGCCGATAGATCGGCGATAGGCCCCCGATAGCGGAACCGCACCTTCCTGGACGGGTTGAGGCTGTCGGGCCCCTCTCGGCGATCAATGGGCGATTGGGGGGTCGATGCATCCCCCCTATGCCTTTCCCCCCCTATCGCTGCCCCCGAGAGGCTCGAGCGACTCTGAACGAGCGGCGTGCCGGTGCTAAACGGCCAGGGGTGGGAGCACGGCTTTGCCACGAGAATCCCTGACGTGCACGCACCACTCATCGACCAGGAGGAGGCGGCGGGAGGGGAGCCAGTCAGGCAACCCCAACGTCACGGGCGCGCTTCGACTCGCTTCGACCACTGCGGACACCTCACTGAACGGCGCCTCCACAAAGACCGCGCCGCGCCGGGGTTCGTCGTGCGCGGGCGTGCCTCGGCAATCGCTTGCTCTGGCCCTCTGCTCGCTCGCAGAGCTGCTCGGGCGAGAAGGGAGGTTCCGCCTTGCGGCTCGGCCCTCCCCGCCTGCTCATCGGCACCGGCACCGTGGCCGCTGTGCGCGGGGGCACACGCTCGACGGCGGCGGCGCCCGTGGCCGGCGAAGTCGGGGGGCGCGAGGGCGAGGGCCTCTCTGGGGCCGCAGAGATGGCCAGGATCGGCGCGCTTCCCCGAAGCGCCGACCACGGCTTTCTGGTGGAAGTCGTACGACGTTGTCGCCAGCGCCCATGCACTTTTCAGGAACTCCGCAGAACGCTGTTCGGATGGGTATTAGCCTGCGGGCATGCCAACGAATTCTGGGAGCCACCTGCCCCCCTCACTCCCACCCTCCTCTCTCCCCACGCTGCTTCTCCCAGCCCATCGATTACAAGACTGGGCACCACTTCCTTGTGAAGAACAAGCTAATTTTGAAATGTCCAGCCCGCTGCGCGGTCGGCTGCGCACTGAGCGGCAGCTACCAATCGCATGCATCGACGCAGCGAGAGGAATCATAATCAGCGTTGCCTGATCAGCAGCAGGGCTTCCTACTGAGAAGGCCGACTGACCGCACTGAGCAGTAGCCGTCATCGCCCGCATCGACGCAGCGAGCGGAATCGTAAACAGAAGTGCCCTGTCAGCAGGTCATCCTGCTGAGAAGGGCGACTGAACGGCGCTGTAAACAGTAGCGCAAGACAGGAAACGAGACCAGGCGAGGCCATTTCTAGTAGACCTGGCCCTCTGGACTGAAACTGTGCAACAGTGAGCCCGGCCAGATAGCTTAGCAACGACTGACGCTGCGCACCGCACCACGCCCACCGTGCGAGGCCACGGCCTGGCCGAGGACGCGAGAGACAGGCCTTGCCGAAGCGGCCTGCCCGAAGCTCAGCCCGCCGCCCTCCTGAGCCGCCGGGCCTCCTCGGGGGCCAGGAGCAGCCTCTCGAGGAACTGGCCCTGCGTCCCGTATACGGCCTCCCACGGGAAGCGGGGGCCACCCGCGCGGGCCTCGTGCCCGACGTCCCACGGGTAGGCGGGCACGCTGGACCCGAGGCCCGGCCGGCGCTTGCCGACGCAGTCTGCCGCCTTCCTGAGAGGCCTCCTGGAGGAGGTCCGAGCAGAAAGGCTCGGAGGATCGCGCCGCATCGCCGTTGCAGCGGCGCCGTCGGCGGAGAGAGAAGATCGGGCTCCACGTCGAGTCGCCTCGGCGATGCAGCTGCGCTGCGGCGCGATCCTCCGACCCCCACCTGCTCGGGCCCCCCCTGGGAGGCCCACACTCCTCCACACCTGTTGCAGCGCGCCCTCCCTGGCCGCGATGGCCTTCTCGCGCGCCTTCACCTTCGCGAGGCGGGCCTCGAGCCAGCGCAGGCGCGCCTCCTCCGAGGCGGTGAGCCCGCCCGGGCGCCCCGCCTCGCCTGAGCCTGGCGCCTCCGCGCCGAGCTCCGCCCCGGGCCCGTCCTTCGCCCGGGGCGCTCCGCGGCTGCCGACGGGGCTCGGGCGGTCCAACCTCGCCCCTGGGCCGGCCGCTGCCGCGTCCAGGCCGATGCCGGCCGCTGCCCTTCTGGGGAGGGAGACCAAGAGGCACCGATGCCGCCGTTCCCAGGACCTCTCCCGGGAGGCGTTCTGACCAGGGTGCCGAAGCGAATCCAGCGGTGGCGACGAGGGCATCCCAGGAAGGCTCCTCTCGGCAGCCCTCGCTGCCCTCCGCACGTATCGCCCCCCCGGCACGCGACGCCCAGTTTCCTCCGCCGACCTTCTGCCCGGCGCCGCGCCAGGGAGCAGCGCCGCCGCGGACAGCGCCACTGCCGCGGCGACGCCCAGGGCGCGCCCGTGGCGCCGGGGAGGGCGGTCTGCCCCCTGCGACATGGAAGCTGGGCCAGGTGTCTCGGGCCAAAGCGGTTGCGGCCATTCGCGCCACCGTGAGAAAGACGATTACCCCGAGATCCGCGCGTCTTCGAGCGGGGCGTTTTCGCTCGTTTTCGGGCCCTGGGGCCCTCACAGATCGATCCAGCTCGAAAAATGGCGCAGAAAGATGGGGTCCGGCGCTCTGGTCGTGATTAGTCACGATGTTGCAACTTGTTTCGCAACGTCTGATCTCAGGGATTATCGTGTTGAGAGGAAGGGGCTGGGAACATACAAGGCAAGACTGTGTAATAAGCACATTCAACATACGCGATAAGAATGATCACATGATCATTTCTCCCAAGCCCATCCCCGCGACCCGATCCTTGTCTTCCTGAGCCACCTTGGTGGCCGCCACCAGAGACGAATCGCACCAGAGATGCACGAGACCGCACCGCGCTGCACTGAAATTTGGCTGCTCTGAGAGACGGTCGTCTGAACACTACGCGTAGCATGGTGTTTACGGAGAATAGTGAGGTTGATGAAAGCGGTCTTACGAAAGTAAAAAATCACATTACTGGAACGCTCTTGTTTTACACTGATGCGTTCCCTGGGAACTCTTGGAAATATGCCAGGCCTCGGTTGAAAAAGTGTTTCACGCATTGCGCCTCGCAGGAGAGCTTGAGAATCTCTCGTAACATCGTGAGCACACAAGATGTCCACAGATCTGTAGTGCGTTGCTATTTGATCGAAGGCTGTGTGATTGTATTGAACTGCTCTGCTGGCGCTACACAAACGACGACCGAGTGTTGCGAAAGGGAAGGACAAGACAATGGCTTCGTAGCTGATGGCAGTACACACCGAACCCTTGCTCAACGTTCGTACACATACCGAGAACAGGTTTGCTAGATATACAACGACATACATACACGTACACGTTCCCCCTCCACAGGGTCCAACATCGCGTTAGAGGGGGGGCGCTGGAGAACGAGCTCCTCAACGCACCTCCCGCGTTCTGACAGCCTCCGCCACATCCACCCTCTGACGCCGCCCAAATACACAGGATGCCCTCCAAGACGGCTCAAGAAACGCTCCCACACGCCTAAGAGGCCTCAAGAAGAACTCAAGAGGCCTAAAGACAACCCAAGACAGTCCAAAGGAGGCAAAGAGGTCCCAAGAGGGAGCCAAAACGCCCCGAATCATGATGCAGAAAACGAACACCTGCCTCCAGCATCACTTCCAGACACCTCCGATACACGTAGTCCCAGGCGCCTCCAAAGGCCACCAGACAACACAACATGCTCCATAATACCCCCGAATGGCTTCTGGCTGGCCTCGAAGACGGTCCAAAAATAGCTCCAAGAGGGCCCAAGATTCTCCAAGACGGCTCCAAGACTCCCCCACGCGGTCCCAAGACCCCCCAAAACGACCCCAAGAACCCCCATAAAGGCCGCCTGGATGGCCCCACGAGGCCACTAGGGAGCCCCAAGAGAGCTCCGAGGGGGCTCCAGAGGGCTCCGAAAAAGACCCTACACAGCCCCACGAGGGCCACAAGACAGGCCCAATATTCGGTGGCACACGTGTCCGGCCCATACCTTTTATACTCACTGATGGGGAGATTTGCGTGCTGGGGCCCGGCGTGGCTCCCGCTCTGCAGGCTCACGACCTGGTCTCCTGCCGCTGGCCAGGACAACATGGGCTGGCAAGCACAACGGTGCGAGGCTCATGCTCTCACCACCCATCACCCCCGTCACCCCTCTGGGGCGGTTCGCCTCCACATCATCGCGCTGCTTCTTGGAGCCCTCAAGGAGGACCCAAGACACAGAAGCATGCTTGAAGAAGTGTCCCCAGGACGTCCCAACAACATGCTCGCTCTCCCCCTTCCCCTTGCCTTCGGGCCCCTCCTGAGCATCCATACACGTTTTGCCCTACTCGATCACACGGTGCAGCCCAGCTTGCTCACATCCGCCCCGTTCAACTTACGAGGACCCGCAGAATGTCGCCAGCCGCTTGAGCAATCGCAGGCGAGAGCGCCACCCCAATGCGAACGCACGTGCCCGCAGCCGCGTCTGAGAAGCTGCACCGTCCATCGCTAAAGAGCGTCATTTTCGAGCGGCCTTGCTCATTGAGCCCACCTCAATCTGCCGGGAAGAGTTCAAGAACGTGAGCGACGATGCTTTGTACACGGAGACAACCCGAGAGAGACATCCGCTGCTCCTCAAGAGGGCCATCCTGATCGCACGCTTCGCGGGCGAACGCGCGCGGAGAACATGATGGAGTCCCTGTTTCCGGCAGTGCTTAAGACAGGCTATGCCAGTGCTGGGTCACGGTGTGGGCCGCGGCTGCGCCGCATCCAGAGCGCAGTCCCGACCAGGCGCACTGTCAGAGTGTCGCGCGGAGGCCCTGCCGAATCACCAGGATCAGGGAAGACAGGATCTCGCCACCGATGAGTGCCCCGCAGGGCACATCTTCCCAAACACCAGCGACACGGAGCTGGCCTCGCCTTGCCTCACCTTACGGACCATCTGCCGTGTTCTCACCTTTCCTCCTCGTCCTCCTCCTCCTCCTCCTCGTTATCCTACTCCTACTCATCCTCCTCCTCCTCCTCCTCCTCCTCCTCCTCCTCCTCCCCCTTCTCCTCCTCCTCCTCCTCCTCCTCCTCCTCCACCTCCTCCTCCTCCTCCTCCTCCTCCTCCTCCTCCTCCTCCTCCTCCTCCTCCTCCTCCTCCTCCTCCTCCGCCTCCTCCTCCTCCTCCTCCTCCTCCTCCCTCCTCCTCCTCCTCCTCCTCCTCCTCCTCCTCCTCTCTCCTCCTCCTCCTCCTCCTCCTCCTCCTCCTCCTCCTCCTCCTCCTCCTCCTCCTCCTCCTCCCTCCTCCTCCTCCTCCTCCCTCCTCCTCCTCCTCCTCCTCCCTCCTCCTCCTCTCCCGCCTCCCTTTCATCTTCCCTGCCCTCCTCCTCCTCCTCCTCCTCCTCCTAGTCCTCCTCCTCCTCCTCCTCCATATCATTATCATCATCATCATCATCATCATCATCATCATCATCATCATCATCATCATCATCATCATCATCATCATCATCATCATCATCATCATCAGCATCAGCATCAGCATCAGCATCAGCATCATCAGCATCATCATCATCAGCAGCAGCATCATCATCAGCAGCAGCATCATCAGCAGCAGCATCATCATCAGCAGCATCATCATCAGCAGCAGCAGCAACATCCACCTTTTCCTCCACCTTCTCCTCCTCGTCCTCCTCAACTAGTCCCTCCCTCCTCGGCCTGCTCCCTGAAATTACCACCTCCCTCCTCCGCCTCCTCATCCTCATCATCCTCCTCTTTCGCCTCTTCCTCGTCCTCCTCCTCCGCCTCCTCCTCCTCCTCCTCCTCCTCCATATCTTTCCCCTTTTAAAACGACCCCTCCCTGTCGCGCCCTCAGACGTGCAGGTAAGGCGAACCCGGCATTTCGCCTGAGAGCTCCTCACTAGGGATAACCATGAATTTTGAAAATGTTTGCAACAGATGGAAGGAAGGCGGGTAGTTTTCAAAATGTGGTTCTCGCCGTAGCGCCACGCACAGTCGTCCTAGAGGTTTGCAACAGACTCATGGATGGAAGGCGGGCCGTTGTTTCAATGTGGCCTTCGCCATAGCGCCGCGCACATTCGTCCTAAACGTTTGCGACAGCTTCAAAGAGGGCAGGTGGTTTTCAACATGTGGGAATCCCCGAAGCGCGCGCACATTCGTCAACAGCTTCAAAGATGGAGGGCGGGCGGTTTTCAAAATGTGGCTCTCGCCTTAACGCAGTGCACACACCCGTCATAAAAAAGCTAGACGCAGCTTCATAGATGGAGGGCGACTCCTGTTCAAATTGTGGTGCTCGCCTCAGCGCCGCGAACATTCGTCTTAAAAGGTTACCATGGTTCTGAAGGTCTCGTACAGCTGGCGTACCAGGAATAGCTAGTGTCCTGACCGATTTAGGGTTATCATGACGCAACTGTCACGTTGATTCGTGGGAAACGGCATTCAGACACGATGTAGGGCTTGCAGGGTGCAACAATCATGTCAACCCGCGGCGTTTAAGTCCCAGCAATGGTGTTTCGGTGCGGTTGAGGATTCTCAAACGATTGTCTTCCAATGGGGCACTACCAGCAATGGAAATAAATCCTTGCGCCATATCGTTGATGCGTCTTGGGTTTACACTGGTCCTCCTCCTCCTCCTCCTCTCCTCCATCCCTCCCTCCCGCCCGCCCCCCGTGGACTTGTTAAGCTATGAATCCAACTGTTCCTTCTGACAAGCGCGATTCTTATGATTGCTTGTCTCATGACTCTCCTTCTTAGTACTAACGATCATACTCTTCTCAGTAACGATACGATTGTTCTGCTCATGGTAAATAACACTTGTATTATTCGTATCGGTCGTAGCCCTAGTAACATGATACATAACACTATGTTTTGACTACTCGTCCTCCTCCTCCTCCTCCTCCTCGTCCTCCTCCCTCCTCCTCCCTCCTCCTCCTCCTCCTCCTCCTTCCACTCTCCCTCCCTCCCTCCCCCCTCCCTCCCTCAACTCCGCCCTCCCTCCCCCACCCCCCCTGTCCTCCCGCCTGCCTCACCCCCCTCCCTCCCACTCCACCCATCGCCCCCTCCATCCCCGCACTCCGCCTCCTCCCCTATCCCGCCCCTCCACTTCCCCAGATACCCGACGTGGCGATTTGTTCTCAACATTGACCCCAAGAGGTCTGAACCCCTTCCCCAGGACAGATTTTTCCACCCTGGGCCGTGTCTTCCCTGCCCCAGAACCAGGGGCCCAGCGAGTGCCCTCGGAGACCGAAAGTGCGCGACTGTCTCCGTCCAGATACTTTCGCCACGAGAGGAAGTCTGAGTCATTTCCCCCTTCCACCCCTTCAAATCCCCCCCTCCCTTCAGATGAAGCCAGGACGAGGACAAAATCGGACCTGGACGCATCGGCATCTCTGAGACCCGGCGGTTCCGGAGGGTGTATTGGGCGCCGCGGCCGTTCCAG